TGATAGGGGTGGTAGAGGTGGCGGTGGGTTAATTTTTTATATATCTATATATGTGTGTGTGTGTGTGTATAGGTCAAATTTTCTGATTTTTGAAATGTGAAAGTTGTTTTGTTATTTTTGAAATAGGGTAAAGTTAAAGTAGGAAAACTGAATTAGCCCCTTTTTTGTTTTCTTTGTTTTTTCTTTTTCTTCACCAAACTCCCACAGCCTTTAGTCACGTTAGCCTTCGTGGGCTGGATCAAAACAATTTTGGGCCATACAGCCCAACAGAAGAGAATAAAATAAATAGAAAATTGACAAGTACAAGATTACAAGATAAAAAAAAAAAGAAAAAAAGAAAAATCAGGCCAATATTCAAATTAAATTTGGGAAAATCCTAGAATTAGTCACATTAAAAACAGTTTTATTAATATAAAATTACATTAATTGATCACAATAGATTGTGACCCTAATTAAATTCTCTCCATCCAATTAAAATCCCTATAGAATATACTTCCGCGATTATTTTGATAATGAACAACATGAAATGGCCACGTACGGAAATTGAATTCATGACCATGTGACATTGTGGACAAAAAGGAGAGAAGGAATTGTTACTCGTAATGCGGTGAATTCATATAATTGTGACTATATAAATCTTATATAGTGACTTAGATGAATTGTGTGACATCGATTATAATTTTGTGACTATTATGTTTTTGATTTGGTGCCTACTAATTTTCGTGATCTAATTTTGATGTTTGGTGGCTATTATAATTGGGATATAACTAGAATTAATATAAGTTTCATATTCATCATCAAAAATGTTGACAATATTCCTTCCCTCGTACGAAATTGGTTAATACCTCATAGCTGACGTCTCTGCATCCCCTTTTTTGTCCTTCGCTTATTGAAGATCGTGTTTTTAATCTTGCCAATCGATCGAACATGGGCGGGTGCTTCTTTTTTATGCATGGAATATGAAATACAGTGAGCAAATGGAAAGGATCGAAAAAGAAGAAGACCAATTCTAAAATTTGTTGATTACATAATTCCTTCCATAGTAAGCAAGGTGACATCATCAAATAATTTGCTGACGAAAATTAAAATAATGCTGACAAATTCTATACATATAAGTTTTGTTTTGACTAAGTTACTTCTGAAAAGTCAACAACTACAGTAGTAGTTCATGTTCTTGAAGAAGATTCTTTCAATATATATTTTATTGATATTTAAATATTTGATTAATTGATGTCATGTTAGTGGATTAGAGTTTTAATAATGTATATTCGGTGTTAATCATGTTTGAGAATATAAAAGATGATGTAACATAATCTTTCTTGTTGAACTCTTCTATATTTTATGCTTTTAATTCGAGAATTCAATTTAGGCATGTTAAGCACAATTGACAAGGATCAAAATAGACGTCGTCGTTGCATAGCTTAGATGAGAATATCATCGAACATGGAACAAACATTCCCACGATCTTGTGCCCTAAAGTTTTAAGGATTATGTATAACCATTACTTAATTTATGAATTTTCTGTTGAGAATCAGGTGGGAGTCCTCAATGAAACCACGTTTGATTACATTTTCTTCTATCGTCAGCATATTGCATCATCAAATAGTCATCAAGTTGTTAATTAAGAAATTAACACGAAATTAATGCAAACAAATTTGCATCGTCAGCATATTGGTTATTAGAAGATGCTTAAAGGAAAATCTGTGATTAATTTAATCTACTGCTAAGAAATTACACCATGATTATGTCACTTGATGATGTAAGAACATTGGAATTTCAGAAAAAAGTCTCAACAATTTAGGATCAATAGTATGATATTAAAGAGGTTTCGGGATTTTAACGGAGGATCTTTGATGTAAAGTCTAGTCGAGAAATAAAGATGAGCTTTAAGTGAAGTTTGTAGAATATACCAAGAAAGGTTTATCGGCAGATAAATCATTGTTTATTGGCCTTTTCTAATTTTTCTATTCCTGTCTAGTTGGCAAGGCTCGTCCTAGCGTATGATTTGCGACATCATAAAAGGAATGGTGTCCATTTAAAGTAATAGGATTCGATGTTGCACCATTTTTAACTCTTATCAGATCCGTAGTTTTTCAAGAAAATGTCCGTCTTTATCTCTCGTGTCTTTGAACTTTCATGAAAAGAATTCGAAATATGAATATCTGGTACTAAATAAATCGTCTTAGTGGCCAACCCCCTTTGAGAGATTAGAGTGCGCATAACGTAGTCAGATTCTTCTTATTTTTTTAACGACTATTAAAAAGTTGAGTTATTATCGAAGCATTACAGAAACAATGTATATTATCTTGTTATCATGTCAAATTAAAAACAACTTAGTGAATTTCAAACATATGAATTATATGAATTAATAATAAACAAGGTAATTCATGCATGTGGGTTGGCTTCTGATTTGTCCATGAACACCTATACATAATCTTAAAATATAATTCTTCAAATCACAATAATTGTGAACTAAATCTTGATATGAATTAGAATAATGTTAATTGGTTGGTGTATTATATAAGCAGAAAGTGACCCCAAAAAAGGGAAACCGCTTAGGTGTATAAAAATTATATAACTTTTTAATTCCTATATGGTTAATGATTCATTGATCTTTATTTGAAAAATCATTTTAATTATTTTCAATGTGAATAGGCAGAATGACATTCTTATTGTGTCAGCATGGTGACGTCACCAGAAGTTGTGGCAAAATAGAATATATAATTTAAGGTTTTGGGTGGCATGTGTTAAATATAATTAATGATCACATCATTTGGATAATTTCAAGTCATATAAAAGGGAATTGGTCTGCAAACATCCAATTATTTGACAAACTATTACTACCTAATATTCTACTGAAATTCCCAATCTTGAAGTCTAGACAACTAGCTCTAGTTTTAAAATGCAAGCTTAAACCATGAGAGAGCAATTGAGTGATTGGGCTCGAACATTATCTCGTCACCTATCAAGCATTGTCTAACCGAAAGGCAGCTAACGAAATTATAATTCAATTTCGAATCAGTAGATATAAACGTTTTCCCAAACAAGGATGAAAATCTCAAAATCTATGTTAAAATGCTACAAGGTGTAAATGTGTAATCTTGTTGTAAACTGTGTTGTAGTAGCATAACCATTTGTGGTAAAACGCATCTAATTGTTCTACTAAACATCACTGGCTGACCTGCCTTCAAGACTCTCAAGGCGATCACTCCGAGTCTACCACCTCTTCATAAAGTTTCCTATGCCGATTGGAGTTAATAAGACCATGGAAAACCAGTATGGATAAAGGATATAAAAAACCTTAGTCTCAATTAGGTGAAAGGTCCAAGAAGAAAAAGGGTGGGTAGGTCTGTTATTATGTATGCTTAACAACATCAGTTGAAGCCCAATGATGAGGCCCCAAAATT